TTTTTCCTCTCTTTCCCTGCGACCCACCTCGCTCCTTCCATGTGAATCCCCGTTCCTCATCTGGGTACTCGATTTTAACCTCAGTTTGAGATGGGTATCTGTTGATCCATTTTTTGTGGCAACGTAGGTGTCAGAGGATTACTCACCCACCAACGTGCAATCTGTGGCTCCAGCAAGCGAATCTGGGGAACCGGAACTACGACCCTCTGATCTGCCAGTTACGGCTTCGTTGAAGGGTGTGGATGATTGTGACATGGAAAAGTCTCCTCCTGAAGCCGAGGTTTTGGTGCCACCCCAGTATGTAGGTGCGTGTGTTTTTCATCCTATACTGTTGTTTGTTTATGTGCATGCATGTGATTTTTGCATTTGCATTTGCATTGGTGGGGTTTATGAAGTTGTGGAAACCTCAGGTGTACCTGCGGAGAATTTGGCTGGTGTAGGAGCTGCACCTAGTCGGTTGAAGAAACATAATGTGAAATTGAGTCCCAAGACTGCGTGGGGAAAGCTCTTATCTCAGTGTTCTCAGGTTTTGCTTTCACTGTTAGTTGATTATTTTCTGAGAATGGGGTGCATGCTCTAATCTGATCATAGAATTTTGGGATTTTAGTTTTGTATGACGTGTTCTTGCCTTTCTATGTTGTTATCATGGTTTTAAACTGTGGTTGTGTTAAGATCAATGAAATCATGTAAAATGAGGGGGTCAGAAGCTGCAAAAACTTAATGTTGTGCAAGAATTTTTGAAATTATGATTCTAGCATGCGGCTCCTAAGAGGCTGGGTGGATAGATCATAGATGTGTGCAGCAGCAGAGAGGCTGTTTCCAAGATTTGAATATGTGGCCTCTAGAGTACAGGACAGCAAGCTTTCCATTGTCCCAAAGCTAGCCTTTGAAACAGTGATCCTAATATCTATGGATATCTATTGCTTTCCGGATGATGGAATCTTAAATTCTCTAAGCTGACTAAATTTGCTAAAGGCATTGTTGGAAATTCACCTTAATTGTGGTCCCACCTTTGTTGTAAATAGTAAATATGCCTAGCCTGACGTACGCGCAGCAGTGCAGCCTCTTTGGGCTGCCTTAATTGCAGACTTGAGAGGGTATGTTTAGTTCCAAATCAACTAGAGATATGTTTAATGTAATCCTTTTAAGGCTAGGGTAGTTCTCACCTTACTAGTTAGTTTTGTGGGTTGTGTTACGTTCGAAGCCCACATTCTAGGAGACATTGTTTTTGCATTGTCAAGTGCAGCAGGTTAAATGCAACCTGACAATTGTTTACTATAACTACACTGGACTCACTCATGTTTTGAAATTTTTCGTTATGTTGTTTTCTAGAAGTGGAAATGATGTGGGAAGTGTACATGAAGTAAGGGAAATATGTGTAATTTCTCAAATTCAAGATTGTCGTGTATGAAAAATATATTAAGCAAGTGATTTAAGTTAATTTCCCAAACAAGTAGGGTGTTGTGGCATAATAAACATGAAACTTGGGATATTGGTGCGAGTCACCCTAATAAGATTGATGCGAATTTTCTAGTTTCTTTACTCTGGAGTAGAATAATGACAGATGAATAGTTGAATTAGTCATATCCGTTTGGAGCTTAGCTTTAAAAATAACAATCTATGCTGGGGAAGCAACCCTAGTAGGATAAGGATTTTTTTATTGTTGTTTTATGTAGGAGAAGCAAGTGAGAACTGATTAACAAAAATATGACTTAACAAAGCAGTCCCAACCTCCTTTTATTTCGGGGTTAAGTTTGTAACATTGATTAATTTGAATTTTTTATTGTGCATGGCCAACAAGATAAAATCTTGTTTTATGCTATGTAACCTACTGTAATCACTATCAGATTATAGGATGCATCATCAATGGTGCCCAGCAGCACAGAAGATTTGGTAATTGGTGCTGCTCAGTGAAGACAAATTTGTTACATTTGATTTTAGTAAAAAACATAATGATGCTTTGTAACAATGCTCTATTTGTTGTTGGCTCAAAATGGGGAGAAGAGAACTGTGAGCTGATTTATGCTTGTCTTCTTATTAACTCTTCCATTTCTGATTGTACTGTTGTAGGTTTGAAATTAATCTTTTTGTTATTCATGCTTCTCCAGAATCCTCACGTGTCCATGAGTGAACCTATCTTCACTGTCGGTCAAGGTGGAAATTGTAATTTATGGCTTGAAGATCCCACCATTGTTGGTGTTTTGTGCAAGTTGAGCCACATAGAGGTAGAGTGTCTTCTTGAATATTTTCAAACTTGAAATGATCAGCTGAGTAACTACGGGTCCATCAACTTTTCAGCTTTGTTATGACAAAAAAATCATTTCTCAAGCAAAAAACATCTATTTTAGATTTTTGTGAAGGACATTAGGGAAAAGAATGAATTTTTGTTCTATTATTGTAAAAGCTTCCCAAAATATTCCCAAATTCCAATTGAAAAAAATTGCTGTTAAGCATTTCTGTTATTTTAGATTACTGATCTCAGTTATTATTTGAACTCTGCACAGTGTGGAGGTTCATCTGGTGCACTACTGGAAATAACAGGGGGCAAAGGTTTTATTCACGTTAATGGGAGGATTCATAGAAAGAATGCTCGACTAATTTTAAGTGGAGGTGACGAGGTTGTCTTTGGTTCATCTGCTAAGTATGCTTATGTATCCTTTGCATATGATTCCTTGGGAAGAATTTATGGTTTTGCTTCTAGTTTTTGCCAGCACCTTCCTTCTTTCTATGCATGCATCTGTGGTCACTTTTACGAGGATGGAAATTAGTCATATGTTTTATGTATTCATTATAAACTACTATAATTTTTCAATTTTAAACTTTCTTTATTGATATATTATGGGTTCCTTAGCTTGTAATTTAGATCTTTCAGCAGCTGACGAATGATAATATTAGTACTGCTGATATACCTTCTGTGAGTATTTTGGAAGCCCAGAGTGCTCCAATAAATGGAATGCAGGTTGAAGCTAGATCTGGCGACCCTTCTGCTGTTGCTGGAGCATCTATATTGGCCTCTTTGTCTAATATTCGTAAAGAATTATCTCTCCTTCCACCTACTGCTAAAACCTGCCAGAATGTGCAACAGGACACTGACATTTCTTCACTACCTTCTGGCATTGGGGATGATATCCCAGTCAATGACATGAAGGATACCACCGATAATGATGAACCAGCTGGAGAACTTTCTGCTGAGAAAACTGTTCTTGCATCCTCTACCACTGTTAACAAAAATCCTAGCCTTGACACAGTGGATGTTGATACCAATATTGATGCAGATGTTGGGAAGATGACTGCTGCTAGATGCGAATTAAGACCAATACTGCACATGCTTGCTGGTTCATGTCCTGAATTTGATTTAAATGGCAGCATTTCCAAGATATTGGGAGAGCAAGGGGAATTAAGAGAACTCCTTAAAGATGTTGATACCCCAACAGTGTTGGCATCCACCAAGCAGCAAGCATTTAAGGACAGTTTACAACAGAGAATTCTCAAAGCTGATAATATTGATGTTTCATTTGAAACTTTCCCATATTATCTAAGGTGCAAATTAATTTATCTCTTGATTATGCTACCTGAATTAGACTGTACCATGATTATGGTCACTAATAACTATGTAACTATGTTGATATTCTTTGTTGTTATATTGTTGGGTTGAATTGCTTGTAGTTACTACTATAAGATATAGAAGATAATTTGTAGTTACTTGGTTGTGATGTTTGGTATTATTACAGTGATACAACCAAGAACGTTTTGATAGCTTCTACATTTATCCATTTGAAGTGCAATGGCTTTGGAAAATATGCCGACCTTCCATCATTGTCTCCGCGGATATTGTTATCTGGTCCTGCAGGTAGTTCCATAGTTCTTGATTATGCTTCTACTTTCCCCAGTTTGTAATAGAGAAGTGATATCACTATACATAATTCTTGTGTAGGTTCGGAAATATATCAGGAGACTTTGTCCAAGGCACTTGTGAAGCATTTTGGTGCCAGGCTACTAATTGTGGATTCTCTTTCACTGCCTGGTGTATGTTTACTAGTCTAAAATATTTATGCTTCATGTCTTTCCTGGCATAGTGGCATTGTTTGCTTGCTTCTGCAGATTGTCTGTTGCTAAACCAGGATTAATATGCACACAATTGTTCTTATTGTGCAATTGGTTTTTCAGGGATCATCGGCAAAGGAAGTTGATTCTGCCAAAGAAAGTTCTAGGCCTGAAAAACCATCTGTGTTTTCTAAGAGAAATGCTCAGATTGCCGCATTGCAGCATAAGAGACCCACATGTAGTGTCGATGCTGAAATTATAGGTGGATGCAAACTAAATACTCAGGTTATGCTGAAGCAAGAGGTTTCTACTGCATCATCAAAAGGCGCTACCCTCAAAAAGGGTATTCTGTCATGCTCTAAAAAATAAGCACCAATCTGCAAATTTACTTCCTATTGTTTTGTTCTTTTATGTATGATAGGTAGCATTTTGAAGGCTTTCATGGCATGATACTTGATTATTGTGCAGGTGATCGAGTAAAATTTATTGGTAGCTTTCCTTCTGCTGTCTCATCGCTACCAAATAATATTTCAAGGTAATTTGTTGTGTTGTGAATGAATTGTGCTTCATAATATTTTTATAGTTTGAGTAATATTTTGTAGTCTTTTGTATTAGGGAGGATGTACGTGAAAGCTCTTTAAATATGGCTTTGAAAATCATTATGAATTTGTTACTTAGATCAATATTATTTAGTGATTAAAATGTCCTCATTTGCAGGGGTTATAGCTTTTGAATTTTTTACTCCAGAGCATTTTCTCTTGATTCAGTTCAGATGTTTAGTTATATCATGATTTTTTTCATTTCTGCTGTGTATTTCTATTTCATTGGGGGTAGAAGTAGAACACAATGATTTCTTCATTTACTTTTGATTAAAATTGTGTATCATCTCTAATGCTGTTTCAAAGGAATTTCAATTCCTGTTATGCCGAGAGACTAGACAGCTTTGCTATTTGTTTGTTTATTTATTTGTTTTTTCTTTTTCACATTTTTAATTACTCTTTTGGGTGGATATTTTATTCCCCCACTAGTTATTTTCCTCTCTTCTTTCTATTTCTAATCCATTTGTTTAATTTTTTGTTCTGGGAAATGGATTTTTTCCTTCTTCTATATTAAGCAGGGGACCGAGCTATGGCTCCCGGGGCAAAGTTCTCCTGGCTTTTGAAGATAATGGGGCTTCAAAAATTGGGGTTAGGTTTGATAAATCAATTCCAGATGGCAATGATCTTGGTGGCCTTTGCGAAGATGATCGTGGGTTCTTCTGTTCTGGTAATTCACTGTTTTTTATTTAACTTCTGTTTCTTTAGCTGCATATTAGTACACTGTACTCTATAATTTTGGCACGTATAATTCATTTGTGATTTATACTGCAGCAAATCATTTACTACGGGTAGATGGCTCTGGAGCGGATGACCTTGGCAAAGTTGCAATTAATGAAATTTTTGAGGTTTGCCCCAGTTCTATTATATACTTGTCCATAAGTTGTTTCTATTAAAGATATATACTTAACACCCTTATCTGTTGTGTACATAGGTTGCATCAAATCAGAGTAAAAGTGGCGCACTTGTGTTGTTCATTAAAGATATAGAGAAGGCAATGGTTGGCAACTCTGAAATTTTAAAAAGTAAATTTGAAAGCTTGCCACCAAATATCGTGGTAATTGGTTCTCACACCCAGTTGGATAATCGTAAGGAGAAGGTACTGTTTCACTAATATCATTTGATAGCTAGCATTTGGTTGTATTTATCTCGTGATTAGAGCAAAACTTTGTATTTGATGATTGCATCTTTATGCTTCCAGACTCAAACTGGCGGCCTTCTGTTTACCAAGTTTGGAAGCAATCCGACAGCACTACTTGATCTTGCTTTTCCGGTACATGAATCATATGCTCTTCTTCATACCTTTGTTTTTACCCTTATTTTTTTTGGCCAAGTTGGATATCTTAATACTTGTTAATACCATTATATGCATCATAAATTGGTTTTTTCTGGTTCCTTTTGGAATTAAATATCAATCTACTACAATTTGGTTCTTTGTTTAGGATAACTTGAGTAGACTGCATGATAGGAGCAAAGAAACCCACAAAGTCATGAAGCAACTTAATCGCCTTTTTCCAAACAAAGTGACTGTACAGTTGCCTCAGGTATCAGTGTATCTTGTTATACTCATTTGATTTTGCAATTTATAATGTTGCTAACTTGCTATTTACCTATCATATATCTGTTTTGCTTCCAAACTTGTACAGGACGAGGCTTTACTTTCTGACTGGAAGCAGCAGTTAGATCGTGACATTGAAACTATGAAAGCTCAGTCCAATGTTGTCAGCATTCGCTCAGTAAGTCTTGCAAAATCTCTCAATCATATTCAATGCTTAATCTTGCTGTACCTTTTGTCTATGGTTTCAGTCTTGTGTTTGTTCTTGGATGAGATTAGTTATTGTGTGCCTTTGGAGCATGTGACCTCACATGCGGAAACTTCCCCACTGGGTTTAACAAATTGTCTTTTTAAAAGTTTATGTGGACAAACCTCTTTACTGTTTCTTGATCTAACCTGCCCATCCTTGCCCTCCATATCATTTGTTGTTTGGTTCATATTCATAGTTCCTTTGTACTAGGCCTGTTACTGCTATCATAGGTACATAATGTTCCATTTAAACATTAAAAGAGTCACTTATGCACATTTTTTGACAATATGCTATTCTGTCGTGTCTCTGTCTTGACTTTGGTATATTAAATATTATAATTTATATTTGTTTTGCATTTGTCAAACATTTGATGAAATTCTTCGAATGATTCAGGTTCTCAACAGAATTGGATTGGTTTGCCCTGACCTTGAGACTCTTTGCATTAAAGACCATGCCCTAACAACCGAGAGTCAGTTCCTTTTTGTTTATGTTTGAAATGATTCTTCCTGTTATTTATGAGATCTCATGATTTGCTGTCATATTACTGATGATATTCTGTCAACTCTGTTTACTAGGTGTGGAGAAGATCATTGGATGGGCTATAAGTTACCATTTTATGCATTCATCTGAAGCTTCTACAAGAGATTCTAAGCTTGTAATATCTGCAGAAAGGTTGTTCTCACTCAAATGTAGCAAACTTAGCTGATCTTCATTATTAATGTTAACACTTCTTTTCATTTCATTGGTGCAGCATTAAGTATGGACTTAACATTCTACAGGGAATTCAAAATGAGAACAAGAATGTGAAAAAATCACTCAAGGTAATTTAACAAAAGCTATTAACAATTTATATTTTTTTCCTGCCCTATCTTGTTTAGCAAGTAGTTGAAAAAGTGACTTTTGCTAGAGGGTGGAAGAGAGATGAAAGGGATTGATAAACACTGGATTAATATAATTGAATTGTATTACAATGTGATGATATATTTGACATGTTTCAAAGCCTAGAACATTAACCTTTCTATATACTAATCATAATCCAAACCATGATTAGATAAGGAAATATGGTTATCAATCCTAAGAGATAATGAGGAAATAAGGAAACTACTCCTAGAGGTTAATCTAAGATAAGATATTTTTGTATATTCTAATACAAGTATTTAGCCTACTGGTTTCTCTGTTTTTTTACACTGTAATGATTAGAATCGAATTCTTTTTCCAGGATGTGGTTACTGAGAATGAATTTGAGAAAAAACTACTTGCTGATGTTATTCCACCAACTGATATTGGGGTCACATTTGATGATATTGGAGCTTTAGAAAATGTGAAGGACACCTTGAAGGAATTGGTCATGCTTCCTCTTCAGAGGCCTGAATTGTTTAGTAAAGGGCAGCTGGCCAAGGTGAAAAGATTTTCATTTTAGTTGTTTTAAATGATTTGTGAAAGACATTTTTCTGAAGATCATGCCATGCATGTAGCACCTAACTGTAATTACTCTGTGTATAGCCTTGCAAGGGAATATTGCTTTTTGGGCCCCCTGGCACAGGAAAAACAATGCTTGCAAAGGCTGTAGCAACTGAAGCTGGAGCAAATTTTATTAACATTTCAATGTCCAGCATAACTTCCAAGGTATTAATGTTGCAAATTTAAACATTTTGGCTCTACTGTGTATTTCCTTTCATGCTTTATTGACAGGATAGATATGGTTTTGTTTGTTTCAGTGGTTTGGTGAAGGAGAAAAATATGTCAAAGCAGTCTTTTCTTTGGCCAGCAAAATTGCTCCTAGTGTCATTTTTGTCGATGAGGTTGGTATAGCATATATCTTCCTGTCCCCCCCCCCCCCCCCCTTGTTTTATATATTATAAGTTATAAATTTCTTTACATTTTGATCGTTTTATAATTATATCCATTTGTGTCATTCAGTTCAGTCTATATTTCTTTTGTTTTGTCATTCTCACTATTTAAAGGGTGATTTTATGCTCATGTAAGTTGTAATCCAAGTTCCAACTAGTGGTTATCGGCATGACATGCTAATGTGGCATATCAGCTTGGCTAAAAGTTATAGCTGAGGGTGCTCAATGATTTAGATAATGTCCTTATGATCCTGTTTTTGCAATTTCCCTTCATTTGACTGCTTGCTTTGTTGGGCTTTTAAAAGGGTAGCTTTCCATACAATACATCTTGGTACAGATACCAAAGTAAACTGCTGAACATGAACATGCAGCTTGGATTGTTGCTGGTATAATTAATTAACTTGATTGGTTGAGGCTTGTGATTTAGGAGAAAAATCCCAAAACTCTGTTGAAAATCCTACTGTTTTTCACATAATTCACATTCCTCAACGTCCCAGATTTAGGTGGAGTTTCCTTGGCCTTCCAAATAGATGTACTATTAACTACTGTAAAGGCTAGACTTTACATAAGAGTTTCCACTTCTGTCATATACGTTACATTTAACTGTTTAAAGATCCAATTGATGACAAAGAGAACTCAACCAATTAGATTAAATTTTGCCAATCGTACCAGAGTTTCCATGCCTTTGAGGAAGAAATTAAGAAATCACTTCTGGCAAGCCATTGATAGGTTGGTTGAGAGGATATGTATAACAATCGAATGGGGAGAAACTGGGTAAAAGATAAATAAATGAAGGCATTCATGGCTTGCTATGTGATTGTGGGTTAAAAGGCTAGGCAATGGTACATCCAACTGTGTCTGTGATACATTGGATTGAAGCCCTGGTGGGTTATGATTTAGAATAAATTCTGAACCAAAAGCTCAAAAGTGAAGCGATTTTTTTTACTGAATACCTCAGATAATAGTTTTTGTGATTATTATCTACAAAATTAATTGTTTAAATTAGCTCCAAATGTGAAAATCTTAAAATGAGCATTCAGAAGAAGGAAAAAAGTAAAAAAAAAAAAAAAAAAAAAAAAAAGGAGAAAAAAAAAC